ACCCCAAATTTTCCCCTGCTAGCCTTCCCCTCTCCTCAGTTAGCACCTGAAAATTCTAAAATTTTTTTCATGATTTTTCAGTCTTCAGGAAGTATGTCATCAAAATGCAAGTAATTCTTGCTGAGAACCATCTTAATCTCTAATAAGCTATTAGCCAAATTAATTCAAAGCCTGGAGTGAAGTCCTAGAGAATACATAAGTAAAATTAAATACAGGGATCAAAAGTAAACAACAAGAGAAAATGGTGGTGTGTTTATGGGTGGCGAGTAAGGGTAAAGTGAAGAAAATAAGGAACTCAGGGGAAAGGGTGCCAAGAGAAGGCAAGGAGACAGATGGCACCTGGGGGGCCAACACCGGAGGGCACTTCAAGTCAGTATGCTTTGCGTACTTGCTTTATTTAAAAGACGGTCTGAGCACAGCCAGGAGCACAATCAGAACAGAACCACTGAGGGTCGCACTAAATTCTTTAACACTGATTATGTCGGGGGTACAGCAAACTGGTTCAAAGGCTAAATTCAGCCTGTTGTCTGACCATTAGCTAAGAATGGTTTTTATATTTTTTAAATAATGAAAATAAAAAAGTCTTAAAAGATGAACAATACTTTCTGACACATGAAAATAATATGAAATTTAAATTTCAGCGTCTACCAGCAAAGTTGTATAGGAACACAGCCAATGTTATTCATTTATGGATTGTCTTTGGTTGCTTTTGCTCTACAACAGTAGAGTTGAATAGGTCCAACAAAGATCATTTTACCCACAAAGCATAAAATATTATCTGGCCCTTTGCAGAAAATATTTTCCTACCCCTGGTTTAAGTCATTCAGCTATGGCTTCACCCTTGCATACCCTCCTCAGAAAGTAAAACTCCACTAAACATACCCTCTGTGGGCCTTGGGCAGTTTAGTGATCACTCACCCACCGTCCTGGAGCACGCGCCTCGAGGAGCATCCCCCCTATCAAGTCACTTGCTTATTAGAAACGCCAGTAGCACTCTCCCTGAGAGAAGTTGAGTAAATACTACTTTCCTTCATGTTTCCATCCCTTTTGACATTCTGACTCCAGCTTTAATACCTAGGCTACAGCATGGGTATTGAGAAATAACCTTTGGTTAATCAATTCCAGCGACTTTTTCTCTATATCCAATCTTTCTTGGTCACCTGTTTGCTACTCCATTTTTTATGGGTCTCGGTACCAACAACAGACATATGAGTTGCTTTACAATAATTAGCCTGGTGGCTAAAACCTTATAAATTTTTAAGAATCTTGCTACATTTATTTTGTATTATTTCTAAAGACTTTATTTATTTGTATTTAGAGAGAAGGGAAGGGAGGGAGAAAGAGAGAGAAACATTGATGTATAAGAGAAACATTGATTGGTTGCCTCTCATATATACCCCAACAGGGGACTGGCCTGCAACCCAGACATGTACCAAAAGTTGAACTGGCAACATTTTACTTTGCGGGACAATGCTCAACCCACTGAGCAAATGCTCAACGAGTTTTTTGAAAATATGCGGTATGGACATTCCTATTACGCATGAGGCAACTATAACCCTAGGAGGTTAAAAACTTTGAACTACAGTCACCCAGGTTTCCCTGGCCTATCAAGATGCCTCAGTTTCTAAGACGGCCATTTGTGATGTCCTATAATCTGACATTTGACAGTCCCTCTCAATCTCATTGTATTTATGCCAAAACACCCTTCCTCTAGGTTAGTTCTTGTTCTTGGGATTCATCCCCCAGACTTTGTCTCAATGACACAACTGGCTCCAAACTGACTAAATATCACAAGGGTCACCATGGAGGGCCTTAGGAACCACCTGGAATGATTTAGAGGGAGAAGTACTCTAAACGACTTACCCTCATGGAGCCAGAAATGTTTCTCTGTCTGTTTGCTAAGTAATTGTATTTAAACAATGGGTTTGGTAAAACAAACGTTTGAAACCAATGGTGATAAGTTATCATTTAAGTTCAATATCACTGGGGTGAGAGTCAAAATAATTAATAGCCAGTCTGGCACAGGAACTGACCAATCAGAATGGAAACTGGTCCTATGTTGGTCAGATGTCACCTTTTTGTTGTTGGATCAGGGAGACATCAAGAGAGTCCTGGGAGGGGAATCAGATGGCCGGGGCAGCAGGCAGTGGGAGGCCTACACACAGAGTTCAAAGCTCAATGTTCCAACCAGTACAAAAATCTTTCAGTTTTCATAACCAGGATGCCTATATCTTGGAGGTTACACAGTGAATCTGTGACAGACTTACAAGTCTAACTTAGAACTTAATTTCCTGGGGAGAAATATGTACCTTTTAGCATTTGCTAGTACTTAAGTTACTGTCTTTAACCATGCTCGGTGTCAAAAAATAAAGTATCGTCCTTGAATGTCTAGCTTCATCAACACCTTTTTTATGCCAACGAAAAAGCAAACATGCCATAACTGATTATGAAACACAGTGATGCACTTACTTTTACATTTATTTCTTCATGGATTCTACAGCAAGAGACGCTAAAGACACCTAGTAGCTTTTATACACTCAAAAATTTATTAATGGAATTAGATTGTTCTTTCAGACTAACATTATTTTTTAATCTATATTCATGGTTTTAGAATCACTGCAGATAGTTACTAAGATAATGATTAGACCGCACGATATCAATTATCAGGGAATACTTTTTGAGGAAAGCATGCATCTGTTTATCATTTCCCAGTTTGTCAATGAGCATTTTTTTAAAAACTTCCGACATGCATGATTAGTTACAAGAATGTTCATTTAATCTCCCTCTGGAACAATAACTCTTAATTATGGGCTATGTAACATGGTACCTTACTTGTAAATTTGGCAAAGAAGTTCCTCTTGCTGACAGTCCTGCCATCTGTTTGCATGGGATGAAGCCCTGGTGCCCTGCTAATTGGCCATAAATTAGGTACCAGCCCCAGGCTTTTGACAGGATCCTTCAGTTGCAGTTTAACTTTTTTTTTTTTTTTTTTTTTTTTTTTGGTCAAGCTGCTAATTCAATATTGGTGGGAAGCCCAAGTTCTCTACTAAGAGTACAGAAATGTACTTCTTGAGTCCTAGGCTCAAGCTATCTTCTCAATGTTTAAAGCTAGACTTCACTCAATGTTTCCTCTTTGTATATATCCCTGAAGATAAACGTATGCTGATTATAGAGAAAAACTGCTAAAACCAAGGAATTTCTATGCCCTGTGTAAGAATAGGAAGAAAACATTTATTAAGAGCTTACTACACATCTTGTACTGCCTATGGACCTTTATATATGTTAAATTGATCTTCAATTCAATTTTACAAGTTAGGTACTAAGTTTTAGAATTTTTATTGCATTTTTCCATTACTATTTAACCCCCTTCTACTCCTCTCCCTGTGCCATCACCGTCCTGTGTCCATGCCCGTGTCTCCCTTTTCGCTCCATCCCTCCGCTTCCCAACCTCCCCTCATGTCAATCGCTGTCATCCTGTTCTCTGTCTATGAGTCTGTCTCTATTTTGCCCCAATATATCTATGAACTTATTTGTCCTAATACCTTTTCCAACTGCATTTACAAAGCCTCACTCTAGACAGCTGAAATGGCTCATAGTTCCTATGTGAGCATTGCTTATGCTATTCACTCTATTTATATCGCCTCTCCTGCACTTCCAGGTCCATCTAATAATACCATTTTTCCGTGAAGACTTCCCTGATTCTCCTTAGAAGTAATCACTCCCTTTTCCAGACTCCCGTAAATGGGTATTCTGACCCTTCTTATACTTTGATCTGCATGATGATTCTTTATGTATATGCCACAAAATCTGTATCAGAAGATAACCCCCAAACCAGGATCTGGGCTGCCTCACTGATTCTTCTCAGGGCTCCTAACAATGCTTCGTGCAGGGTAAATCCTGAGTAAAATGTTAGCTGAATGAAAGAATGCATGCCTGCCTAATCATTGTTTCTGGGAATCAGACATTCCAGAGATATTTATGGATATAACTATCATTCTGCAGCTATGCCACTGCTCTGGTTATAGAGATCCAACACACAGGGGCTTCCAAACATCTGTGATCTGTGAGATCTGTGAATCAAGGAGGATCCTTCTTTACCCAGACCCCTCTGAGCTCAGCATTCGACTCCAACATTCTGGGCTGATCACATCTGCCCCCTGTTTCATTTTGCATTGACACTCACAGCCTATTCCAGTTCCACTAAAATGGATATTTTTCAGTTCTCCAAGGGTCAGGACTTCGCTTCTCTGATAAACTTATCAATAAACACTGCAATGATGAAAAATCCGGTGTCCCACTTCCAGATAGTGAGTGTGCTTTTTAATCATGCTCTTGTAGAGTCAACAATCTGATATTTGCAGTTTAACCTATAAAGCATTCAGGTAATGGGTAGTGGGAATAGCAAGGCAGAATGGAGAGAATGAACAGGGATAAGCATCTTGGAACTAACTTATAATGGCCCTAAATATATGCCTATGGCTACAATTGATGCTTTCTCTAAAACTGCCTTCCTAAAATGTTTCTATTACAGGAGTCTAGGGCTGGAAGAAAAGATGAGATAACTATACCACAGTCAAAGAATAGTCCATTTTCTAATGACAGTAATATATTATTATAGTTATTATTATTGTTCTAAAAACATACACAAATCACTAGCATCACTTAAGTACTTCCTGACTAAAACAGAGTCAGACACATGGCTTTCCTTACCTGTTCCCATTAATCCTGACAATATAGCTATAATGTCGCACTATCCCTGGCTTACCAATGAGCTCACTGAGGTGAAGCGCTCCATGGTTAAGTACCTTGGTGAAGATTACAAATGGCAGAGCAGGCTACTTTCAAGAATAATAAGAAATGTAAATCAAATATGAATTCATTTTAAAATGAAAAGATGTAAAACAAATATTAACAGCTCCATAAGATGATGTCTAACTCCAGGAACTTATGTATGTCACTGATATGAGTGTGCAATATGCGTAACAAAGCGATGCGCTTACTCTCTGTCGATCACGAGGCAGGTCACAGCTTCTGCGGCAATTACGTTTGCTGTTCTCACATCTTCCCTATATAAAAACAGAAAGAAATTCAGATAAAATAACCTTTACTATCAGAGAAAAGTGTTCATTGTGATCAATTCAGGAAACATATTAAAATATGTGTCATCTTCAGATTTATCCACTTCCAGGTTTCAGCTTTGTGCATCTTTCAAATTTCTTTGCCCTGAGGAACCACCTTATTCTTGTCATGAATCATACAAACTTTACAGTTAGAATTCAGTAATTTCAATCTTCAAACAAAGTTTCATTTATACAAATGAAACAAAATTGTGTATCATTATTCCCTATGCTTTTTGGGGAATTAATGAATTAATTGGATATTGATAAAGACAGCAATGAACATGGATAGATGAACATTTTTAAAGGACCTGAAGATATATTTCTGGAAATAGAGATTTTAATTCATGTATGGATGAATTTATCATTATAACCTTGAGAACAACTGATCTTTTCATTTATTTCCTTGTTTTAGAGACCATGTTTTTATGAGGCTGACCTTTTGGCAACGCAGAGCACACAGTTATTCATCTATACCAGAGCTTATGGATCTTCAAAAGTATTTTTTGACAAATTGTAATCACACTGACTGAAATTTGTATATACTATCTCTTTAGAAGCTTCTAATTTGTCACTGTTAGAGTATTTATTAACCTCTTAAGCCTTTAAAAATCTGCCCTGATATCTCTGTCTTATCCAGTGGTCAGAGGTAGATTTAGTAAATTAGCATTCACAGGTCATTTTGTGCTACTAGAAATTTAATAATACCACTGTCATGAAAACGTGAAGTTATATTTAAAAATGTATTCTCTTTCCTAGAAAGGTAAAATTTCTAAGTTAATACAATAAATGATAAATATAAGTTTGAAATACTTTACAGATATGTACATAGAAAAAATATAATATTAACACATTCTAAAAAGCATAATTAAAATCATATCTCTCTAGTAACAGAATATAAAAATAAGTCTTAAAAATAAAGATATTCCCAGTGGATTTCTTTTTTCAAAATACAGTAAGTTCTCACATACTATTCTGAACTCTGTATTTTTTCCACTGACCTTTTTTCTTTCCTTGTTGCTACGTCACTGTTACTTTATAGTATCTATTTTGTATTTAGTAATTGGTAAAGCAAATTTTCTCTTCCTAAAACTCTTTTTTCAGAAATATTTGGATGATGTTTTTAAACATTTATATTTTATACAGACTTTAAAATAAATTTTCCTCTCCTAAAGAAATCCACATTGGGACTCTGGCAGAGTTTTATTTACATTTATACATTGAACTCAGAAAAAGGACTTTCTGATTATATCAATTTCTACAAAAGAACATGGCATGACTCTCCACTTCTTCAGATCTAGAGGTTTTTTGTTTGTTTGTTTTTTGTCTTTAAATAAGATTTTTCATCTTTTTCACTTGGAACCTGACATTTTAAAACAGTATTCTTAGGTGTTTTATATTGTTAGTTTCTTTTATTAGTCGCATTCCTTTCCCATTTCTATTTCTCACTGGGAAAGAAAAAAGGTATTGATTATTGTATATTTTTAGTCTGCTTACCATAGTAAATTCTCTTTTGATTTTAAAATTATTATCATCTCCACAACTCCCAGTATCATCCTTCCAGTTCCTGCCTCACATTCCCCACCTTCCAGCCAAACTGGCCTCCTTTCCATTCCCGAATACCTCATCTCCCTTAACATGCCTCCCTGAGCCTGGCAAGCTTGTCCCCAACTCCTTGCCTGGCTCACCCCTGCTTATCCATTAGAGCCCAGTCTATGTGCCCCTTCCTCAGGGATGCCACCTAAATTAACTGGAGCAGGTTCCCTGTATGTACCTCTTCAACCAAGGACCTAGCACTGTTTATAATTTATACATTATTTGTTTAATGGCCCCATGTTCCTCCAACTAAATCAGAAGAGCAGGTCCAAGGCTAGATTTGCTCCTCATTTTACCCTAAAGGTGTGGCACATAGGAGGTGCATGGTACAGGGGTGGCCGGCAGAGCGGCAGAGTCTAGGCTTTAACTCTGCTCAACAAGTCATACTGCCTTGGTTTCAAAACAGAAGCTACCGGCTGTGGGAAAGGCTCAACTTTTTCATCTGCAAAAATGGGGATGGTGAGAATGCCCACTCACTCTGTGGTATTAATGAGATAGTCAAAGATTCATTTATCACAATGCCTGGCACATAGTGAATAACGTGTTTGGCTGTTCATGACTTCTTATTCTTCTCATTAGCAGTACTGTCATCTTAGTCCTTATGAAGTGCTGTGTTTTATAAACATTCCTACCCCAAAACAAAGTCTGGATTTTCTTTCTGTTCCATAGAAGTAGATAATATATTTTCAACCCCATTATCACTTTCTGAGTGGGAATTTTGGTGAAATGGACACAAGTAACACATGTCAATAATACCCATCAGGTCTTTCATAAATTGTGTGAATGGCTTATTTCTGAAAAGGTGGCTCATGGCAGCATAAATTGCTAAACACTGCTGTTGATGTAAAAAACAAAAAATTCCATCACGGTTTTATAGGGAACATCATATGAAATCTAATTTTCCCTAAAACATATTTCCATCTTGGCAACTTAGAAACTGCTTATAGTCTTTCAAAATATAATATACTCAAAATAATGCTTGCTTTTGATAATATTTTCTGTGCATATAAAGTTTAAAAAATGATTTCATTTCCAATTTTTAATATTATAAAATTTCCTCATATTATCTGACCTGAATTGGATATACTTAGAAAAAATGGATGCAATTTTCTTGCAATAAAAAATAATACATAGATATTTTTAAATGTAGATGGTAAAAATCAAAGATCAGAAGAGTGACATAGTAAAAAGAAATTAAAAATATTTTAAAAAGTAAAATTTGTAAGTTATAGCCTACCATCAAGTTTAGTGCCTAGTTGAGTAACATATATCAAAATAGAAGAGATGCATAACATAAGGAAACACAATATATTAAAATGAGATTACAATATTTGCCAATTAATGAGCGTCTAGTATATACCAGGAACTATATTAAACAATTCACACAAACCTCATTCAATGCATTTAATAGAAGGCATCTTAGATTTACACCAGGGGATAAAGGTTAGGTAACACACCCAAAGTCAGACATAGCTAATGAGTTGCAGCCCTGCCAGGAATTTGAAAAAAGATCCGGCTGGCTCCAAAGCCCATGTTTTTTTCCACAACAGTCCACTGTTGATATACTCTGCTGTCTCATTTTAATTGCATAATAGTTCTAAATTAATTTTAATGCAAAATAACTTCTGAGTAGTAAGTAGTCATAATGTCTCTCTGTCGATCATTATAAAATATATTTAACAGTTAATAAAAACAGCATTGATATATTAATGATTACCCAATTGAAAAGATAATTCAATAGCCCATTTTGATTTCCAGACTATTAGAATTCTTATCCATTGCTACCTTCTAGACTTGTTATGCTGCTTTATAATAATGCTACATAAAAATCACAAATTATTCAATGCCAAGTTCATTCAATGACAGACTTGTGTTGCCATTACACTGTCATTTTATCTCTACTACAATGGTGTTTAATACCATTATGCTAGTCTATGCAGGTGTCTAAAAGCCAACCCTGTGTACTCAGAGGCGCTGCTCCTGTGAAAGACCATATACTGTCTTACCTAATATTGATGTATCTGAATCCCTTCTAGTATGAGGGGCAGTATAAATTTCTTGTAAGAGAATATCACTCATACAAACTGACAATATTGATACTTACTATGTATGCTTATTTCCTTTATAGATCAAAGGACAATGGCTAAAGCAGATATCATTTGTATTCAGGTGTAAAGTATTGCATCATGCAATACAAAGAGCCTAATAACTCCATGTTGTTGTTGAACTTATTTCTATTCATACATAGCTGTTATGATACTAGTTTCCCACAGAACATCTGCCAAGTTAGCAGAGTCTCATATAATATAGGTTTAGACATGGAAAAAGAGAAGAAAAAGAAAGATGATGTCATTTTTAAAAACTGAGCTTTCTGCCAACAACTTTTTAGTTTTTGTTTAGTTTGAAAATTTTTTTAGTTTTTGGCAGATCAGGGTATTCGATAATTTCTGATAGACAAATATATGAGATTTTGAAAAACACATTGAGTGTGAGATTATTTTATAACTAGAATTATAAGGTAATGTAAAATATATTTACTTAAAATCTTTCACCAAACACATATTGCCTCTTAACACTTAGCATACTTCTTTATAGCAAGTAAATGTCAATGTATTAATATAAATGTCTAGGCTTAACATGCACATTGTTTTTAAAAATAAAACCTCATATTCATCCATTTCTGTACCAGTATTAGTTGATTTTAGCATAACAATTAGTTACCATGTACTATTGCAGAGGTAGCTACTGTTTGGCAGATTAACAGATATTTTATAAAGTTGCCATTGATTAATAATTACTGTCAAAGCTATGCAGTTTAGTATTGCTCACTTTTTAAGCATTTTTGGCAGAGTTAGAAATTTATTTCAATGAAATCATAGAGCATAAAACGTATCCAAAATATTTGCAAATAACAATTTTCTGTGCACTGACTCTGATATCCTTTGAACTTCATCACTGGAATCTTCATCATCGCTGTATCCCAAAGTAGAATCACTGTCAGTATCTGAATAATCCATAGGAAGGCTTTAACATTGACTCTTCTTGTTCTCAAGTAATTCTCTTGTATTTCATAGCTGATAGAGAACTCAACTGTTGATTGATATCCCAGGGGAAGACAGAGTGCATGAGGCCAAAGTAGACTGTAGTTCATGCAGAGTTTCTGTTTGAGTAAGGGCTCTCCCTTTGCAGCTTTAGAGCAATGTGACTGTCATCAACAGAGTCTTAGCATTCCCTCAGTGCCAGCCTTCTGGCACTACTCCAACCGCCTAGGGACTTAAGATAATCCATGGGCCAGAGCCCTTCATTCCCAGTCAAATGCAGGAGTTTAATGTTCACAGTGATTTGGATCGCAT